TACTAGCCTTATAGAATTAGTTTGGCGTATTCTCTCTGCTTCTATTTTCTGGAAGAGATAGAGAACTGATATACTTTCTTCATTAAATTTCTGGTAGAATTCCCCAATAAACTAATTTGAACCTGGTGCTTTCTGTTTTTTGAAATTTTTACCTGTTGATTTAATTATTTAACAGATACAGGTGTATTCAGATCATATGTTTCTTCTTGTGTATGTTTAGATAGTATTTTTCAAGGAATTGGTCCATTTCATCTTGGTTATCAAGTTTGTGGGCATAGAAATGTTCCCAGTAATCCTCTATTATCCTTTCAATGTCTATGGGATTAATAGGATTTATGATATTAGTAATTGATCTTTCTCTTTTTCTTAGTTAGCCTGGCTAGAGGTTTATCAGTTTTATTGATCTTTTGAAAACTAGCTTTTGGCTTTGTTGACTTTCTCTATTGACTTCCTGTTCTCATTTTCTGTTGGTTTATTGTCTAATTGCTATTATTTTTCATCTTCTATTTACTTTGGGGGAGCTCTGATAGCATAGTGCCTAAGGCACTTGACTGATAACCAGAAGGCTGGTGGTTCAAACCCACCAGCCACTCCTCGGAAGGAAGGTTAGGCAATCTACTTCCGTAGTGATACCACTTCGGAAACCCAAGGAGGGGTCACTATGAGTCGGGTCCGACTCAACGACATATAACAACAACAACAACATTTACTTTGGATTTAATTTGCCCTTAACATGGAATCTTAGGTGTGTTAGGCTGGTTCTCAGGAGAAGCAAAACGAGTAAAACTTACATAGAGAGAGAGAGAGAAATTTATCTTAGGAAAATAGCTCACACACTTATAGAAGCTGGCAGGTCCCAAGTTCCTGGATCAAAGGTCAAGCTGGAGGCTTTTCTGAGCTCACACAGCTGCAGGCGCTGACAGGCTCAACATTGGCAGATGGTGTACCAGCTGTTGACTCCAAAGGACGATGAATCCAAGATGAGCGGACCGAATGGCAGATTGTTCGCTCATGGACAGTTGTCGGAAGCACAACAGGATCCTGATCCACCAAAGAGTCTGCCTTTTTCCCAGGATGTCCATGTGTATGTTGGAAGCAGGCCACACCCCTAGGGAACTCCCTTTCAACAGACAGGCTGCTCAAAGCATGTACATCTGATATCATGGGACTAACCCACATCACAACCACTTAAACCACTCAGAGTCGTGGTCCAGCCAAGTTGACACACAACCCCAGCTATCACATTAGGTTATTAATATTAGCTCTTTCTTTTCTAATTGGTGTGTTCAGTGCTGTAAATTTCCCTATAAGCTCTGCTTTTACTGCATTCCATAAATTTTGATAAGGTGTATTTTCATTTTTACTTAGTTTGAAATATCTTCTAATTTCTCTTGTCCACCACTTGTCTGTCAGTTTTTTGTACTGTGGTGGCTTGTGTGTTGCTATAAGGCTGGAGGCTGTGCTACTGCTATTTCAAATACCAGACGAGTCACCCATTTTTTGAGTTGTTGTGTTGGCAAAGAATATGGAAAATACCATGGATTGCCAGAGAATGAACAACTCTGTCCGGGAAGTGGTGCAGCTGGAATGCTCCTTGGACGTGAGAATGGCACCGACTTTTGGTCATATTGTCAGAAGGGATCATTCCCTAGAGAAGGACATCATGCTTAGTAAAGTAGAGGATCAGCAAAAAAGGGGGAGGTGCTCAGTGAGATGGGTCGACACCGTGGCTGCAGTGATTGACTCGAGCATAGTGAGGATTGAGAGGCTGGTGCAGTACCAGGCCATGTTTCGTTCTGTTGTCCATGGGGCCGCGATGAGTCAGAGCTGACTCGACAGCACCCAGTAACAACAGAGTTGTCTTGAGACTCGTGTTACTTAGAAGTGTGTTCTTATTTTGGGATTTTCCAGATACCTTCATGTTACTGATGTTACTGTAAGTTCTTTGAGGTCTGAGAGTATCTTTTGTGTGACTTCTAATCTTTTATCAATTTTTAAAATTGTATTTTGGTGAAAGTTTCCTGTGAGCTTGAGAAGAATGTGTATTCTGCTGTTTTGGGATGTGGTATTCTGTGTCCGTTAGAGCCACCATTGATTATTGTTACTTCAACCCTTATATCTTTACTGGTAAGTCTTGCCTGCTGGATCTGTCAGTTACTAATGGAAGAATGTAGAAGTCTCCCATACAGTGATGGATTCATTTATTTCTCCTTGAGGTTCTGTTAGTTTCTGCCTTACGTATTTTGGTGCTCTGTTGTTAGGCATATACACTTGAAGGACTGTTATACCTTGGAGAGTTCCAGATCTCTGTTGTGTCTTTGACTGCATCTGTTGCTTGCACAGTCCCTTCAAGCTGTGTTTTCTTTTAGTATGCCTTATAGTTTTTTGTTGCAAACTGGAGATTATATACTAAGTAAAAGGAATTAAGGTAAACAGCCCTGTAGTGTCAGGTATTATCTTTATCTGGCTAAAGGTTGTTGTTGGGTGCAATTGAGTCGGTTTTGATTCAGTGCCTCACGTACAGCAGAACGAAACACGACTTCACCTTGTGCTGTCCGCACAGTCCTTGGCTGTGCTCAAGCCCACAGTCGCAGCCACTTTGTCAGCACATCTTGCTGAACAAAGGTCTTTCCCTTTTTCACTGACCTTTTCCTTCACCTAGCATGATCTCCTCCTCCAGGGACTGGTCCCTTCTGACAATACGACCCAAGTATGAGAGACCAAGTCTGGCCATTTTCTGAGGAGCATTCTGGCTGTACTATATGTCTAAAAGTTAGGCTATGTTTGTTTCTTTTAAGTGTGTCAGAGGCCAAAATGTTCTTTTTTTTTTTTTTTTAAATTTTTTTTTCTTTCCTGTAGTATTTGGGTGTCCTACAGATTTCTTAAATTAGGTCTGGGAGATGATGTGCTTTTAGTTGTAATTCCCTGGTACCTACAGTTGCCCTACTCTTGTGTGGTAAGGTGTGTGCAGAGAGGAAGAATGCTATAGTCCAGTGATTAGATCTCGTCTTTTAGTGAACGTGGGCCTCTGGGCAGTAACCTCACCAGTGCTTCCCTACTACTCCCTTCCCCACTTTGGCAATTTTCAGAACGGCAACTTTTCCTCTCCCACCTACTGCAAGCACGGGGATTTTTCTCTGATCTCCACACTGAGTAACTGGTTGGGTTTCTGGAGCTAGAACTCAGAACTGTGTAGGTCCCCCTTAGATTGGGCCCCTTGGCATTTTTAACCCCTCACTCTTGTCCACAGAGCCTCCAGCAGTTCGTCAGTTACAATTTAAGTTTTCCGGCTCCTAGCAGTGGTGTCCGTTCCTCTGGCTTGTGCTACGATTATCTGTTGCTGCCTATGTGTCCCTCCAGTTTGGGGGACAGCAGTTAGCCCCATCATCAGTATCCATTTTCAAATTTCCATCACCATGAACTGAAACTCAGTGTTTCCTAAACAGTGACTTTCCACCTCCCTCCTACTCTGGCAACCTAATAAAGTTTTATATATATATATATATTTGTCTAATCAGTGTTAAGATTTTCGGCGGCTTTAAAATAGGTAACATGGGCCACTGCACTGGAGGAGGCTCTTGAATTTTGACTGTGCATCAAAGTTGTTGTGACACTTCTCTACCAGGAATGATTCAACATGACCTAGGCAGATACTTCACCCTGTGTCCTGACAAGTGAAGCCTTCCTGGTCTATAGCTGCTCTGCTCTTCAGTCCAATTTTAGTGTCAGAAATGTAGTGTGGCAGCTTTTTTCCTCCTCACTACATGTGGAAGCCACTAGGTTGAAGCTGTTTTACAGAGGCCAGTCCTGCAGCCCAGAGCATGTCAGTGGTCAGGGTTCAGGTGGTCATGATACTGTGCCTTTCAAGGGCTGCAAATGTGAGAAAATTTTCAGCCCTCTAGAGGGCTGGTAAATGTCTTTATTTTCTGAGATTCATTAGCAGTTTAACAGCTAAATCTTCTTTACTTCAACGGACTTACTTAGAAAATGAAACTCTTAGCCTCTTCTTCATGGTCAGCAAACACAAGAGCGTGCTATTCTGGTTCTTGCTGAGATAGGGTCCTTTGTCATCTCATAACTTGAGAGAGAGAGAGAGAGAGAGAGAGAGTGTGTGTGTGTGTGTGTGTGTGTGTGTGTGTGTGAGATGGCCAGGTGTATGTTGAGCATCACTGATAACTGGTTATCAGTATCATCGGCTCTCAAAAGTTTTATAATTGTGGGGAGATCTGTGTCCTCATGTTCCCTGTCTCTCACCTGAGCTCTGTTTGACTTTTTAATACTTTTGCCTCTATCCATGAAAGGGACAGAGACAGTGATGATATCACTGCTGACTCACCAAAAAAGACTAAACAGATATGTAAAAATCCGTAGTTCTCCAAAAGAATATTCTCTTTTTGGAAGGTTGTCATAGTTCTTCAAGATAATACAGCTCAGGGCTGTGGCCTGCCAGTTTGTCCAGGGCCCCTGGGCCTCTCAGGGCTGATGAAAGGCAAAAGGGAAAATTGCCAGCCCTCTAGTGTTTCCCATTTGTCATTTACTCATTTTGCTTTCACCTTGTGCTTTATGTTTTATACAGGGTTCTGGTGGGTCTTATGGAAGGAAATAAATTTTTTTTTTTCCCATAGGGAGTTGATGATCTTAATGTGCAATTAAGAGTTTCATTATTAGAGCATTTCTCTAATTTCCACTATGTGCTCTGAGTGTTCTAGACCATAAAGAGAGAGAAGAGGAAGACTGCAATTTGTCACTGAAACTCTGGAGAGAGAAGGTCAGTTTGTTGGAGTGTTGTTAAATCGGTGAGAACGCCCTGAGTGAGGATGTGTAGGCAGTGATGGGAAGCCTGATGACTAAACCCCAGGACAGGCGTTGGTAGAACACGGGACTTTGTGTCAAATCGCTATCAATTCCCAGTTCCCCGGGACCATCAGCCTCCCCCATCCTTTTGCAAACATTGGATTGCATACTAACTTGGCTGAACCAGAATGTGTGGGATGTTTTAGGACTCAGTGGTCGTTGAGGATGTGGCCGTGGACATTACCCAGGAGGAGTGGGCTTTGCTGGATGTTGCTCAGAGGAAGCTCTACATAGATGTGATGTTGGAAACCTTCATAAACCTGATCTCAGTAGGTAAGGATGGCGTCATTTTTTTTTTTTTTTTTCCTCACTGTTGTAGTGAAAAAAAATATTGTACTCATTGACCTTGGTCCAGTATTTAGGCTGAGGAGAGGGAATATATGGTGAAACAACACAGATGTGGTCATTCGTTCTTTGGAGTGTACATGTCCTGACTCCCCATGAACATAAAGCTCTATGTATTCAGCTGACTTTTTTTTTCTCTTCCGATTAAAAGCCTTGAGGGTCTTTAAGTATTATAAGTATGAACATTGACTTCAGGGATCAGTTTGGACACAGAGAGGGTTCTGGTTTGGAACCTTGTAAAGAGTTTTACTGTGGTTATCACAAGTGTGATGTGATTGCACTGCTGCAAATAAACTCACACTTACCCATCTCCAGAGACTGAGGATGAAAAGTGCAAAGTGGTAGGGGTGACGGTAATAATGGCAGCATCTGAACCTGCCTTAACTTCATGGGATGGAATGATCAGGATCAGCCCAGAGTTGATTTCCATCAGCCCTACTGCCACTCTCCAACCTTTTTTACCAATTCCTACACCAGCTGTCCCTTCCTCTACTTCTCCTCTGGCTTTGATCATCTGTTGCAATGGCCACACAGAACTCATAGACCATACTTATAGTTAAGTAGCTTATTAAGGGACAGAGTACAAATTGGGATCAGGGTCAACAGGCTATAACTCAGGATCAGGAAGCATGTAGGCAATGGCTCCCTTCTTGAGTGCAGGACAGTTCTCTCAGCAAGTCTTAGTCCTGCCACTTGTCATCACCAGTTCTGCCACAGGGTCCCTTTTAGGCCTGTCATTGCCACCTCTGCCACGGGGCCCCTTCCAGGCTTCTCGCTCCGGCCACCCTCCAGCCTTTTCCCCATGGGTTCCTTCACATGCGTTTTTTACCAGTGTGAATCGCTCATTAACAGTTTGTCCACCCGTAGGGCAGAAACTCCCAGGGTGAAGTCACAGATACCAACCACTCAGGTCTGTACCAGGTGTACATTGGTCTGGTCAGGTTCTCCCAAAGGTGGTCCCAGTTTAAACCTGTCTGGACTCTGATGAAATTAGCTGAGAGAAGATTACACCCACTCCTCATTTATTGACAAGGTTAGATTCCAAACACGAGGTTGTCATGCAAAACCGACATCATGCAAGAGTTGGAGGCCATTCTTCATCTTTGATACCTGTGCCCCCTTCCTTCACCAGTCATTCTCCACCCACTGGATGCCCCCACCGTGTCTCAGGACATGTGTTGTGCAGCGGGCCCTTCTTTCCCTCCATGCCTGCACCACTGCAGAGCCTGTGGGAGTTGGGGCGGGGCGGCGGGGGGGAGGTGGGATGCTGCCTGCCCTCAGCAGGCACCCTGCTTGTCCTCTACCCATCACCTTCCATCCTGGGTGGGGACCCCACTCATCCTCCACCTACCCCAGCCCCACGGCCCTGTATGCCCCCTTTCTCCCCCCACTTCTGACCTCCCTGGCACCTTTGAGCCCTCACCTGACATCTCTCTGCCCACCTGTGACCTCATGTCATCCCACCACTGCCCAGCACCCTCTGTGGATGAATTGAGATGCTGTGAACAAATGCAGAAGGGGTCTTGCAGATGGTCAGCCGCTGTCCCTCACGTGGCCTGGTCCTAGCCATGACATTCAGTATATCATTTGGCATGGTCCATGGAGGGTGCCTCGGGCCTGGCTATGACTGCATGAGGCCTGGACCATCACGCGCTGCCTAGTAATTTTTTAGAAGTTGTCCTAAATGCAAAATGTCAGATAAGAAGATGGTTGATAAGTGAGGAATAGGTGTGTTGCCTTGCTGTGGTCCCTGCAAAATAGCTGCATAGCAAAACCTTAAAGAGACATTAGGTTTCTCCATTGCACTCCAGCCCAGCAGTGCCTTCCTCTCAGTCCATTCTTTCCATTAACAACTTCTACAATTACAGTTTTTTACAATCACAATTAACCTTGTTAATAGTCGGCACTCACAGTTGAATCATGTATCATATCACAGCTTCCTACATCCTTTCTTCCCTGGACCTGTCAGGAAAAAGAAAGCTATTCAGTGGGGATCCTCCCTTGTCCCCATCCTTTTTAAGTGTAAGTACACTGATGAAAGCATGTAAGCTACTCTCTTCATGCCTTTTTCTCTCCCCAACTTAGACAGCCAATGTTTAAATTGCCCAGGCCTGTAGAACCAGTACTCTGAGCGGGTAAGCATACCCCTTGGTCTGAAGACCTGTTCTAGTTGGGACACAGGGCATTAACATCCACAAGTGAAATTCAGTCCAGGGCGAGGTGTGAAATTGCAGCAGTCTACACCAACTCATAGTGTCACATACCTCTCTTTTCCTTTCAGGTCATCTTCATTCCCATTCATTTGGGGTTACCTCATCCCTAGCCATCCATGCTAGGTCACTGGGTACCAGCCATAGACTTGGGAGTCCACACAACTCCCTGCACATCAGACCAGCCAGCCTCTTCTCTCTCTTTATCATCCCTAGCCACCTGTTTTCTCATCCCTAGCCACCTGGGGCTAGATGCTAAAAGAACATGTTCCAGTTCAGTCTGCTTCTTCATTGCTGTATCTCCCTCACTTCCATTTATCTGTGGACCCAGGTAGTTAGCTCAGGTGAGCATGCAACTATCTACTCACTGACGTCCATTAGCTTCCAGTCCAGGTAGGGGTTCTTCTGATGGGTACCAATACGTCCTGTTCAACACACGCTTCACATTCCTTTGGGCTGTACTCCACACAAATATCCTTTTACCGTTCATTCACCAAGCAGCTCTGAGTCGAGCCATTACTCATCATAGTGCTCTCAAATGCAGATCTACTGATCTCACAGGCTTTTGACATAAGCACCATTTACTGTTTCCGCATTGCCCCTTTTAGCATAGCCAGTCACATATTGCCTGACAAGTGGAGTTACATGCTGTTTTTTGTTTTGTTTTTACAATACCCAATATACATTTTCATCATACATTCAGGTCTGTTTCATAACACTAGGTAGGGAAAACATCGCTTCAGTCAGACAAAGTACATTCAGATATCAGATTCAGTATAATAATGTTAAGCTTTCCAGTTTCATTTTCTGTTTCCTCCCTCTGACTTTCTCACCCATTTGTAAGCATGTGGCCTTAGATCTCTGGCTGGGTGAACCAGAAGGCCATGCCCCTATCGGTCATCGTGCTTAGCCTGCTGGGCTTTTACCACAAGAGCCACTCCTTTCCTGTCCACTGCTGTGGCATAATGTCTTTCTTCCCTGTTAGCCATTATATATACTGGCAACCAAAATAACCCCCACGAATCAAGTTTCTCATCCTGTGCCCATTCAGTTGCCACTGGCTCTGCTGCTGGACTTCTAGGCTTTTCATTATCTTCAGTGTTGCAACTCTTTTAGGAGGTTCCTGGCCTCCTCTCTCTCTCTCTCTCTCTCTCTCTCTCTCTCTCTGCTTCTTTCTTCCTTTTGCTTCTTTCTGTCTCTTACTGCTTCTGAAACCTCTGTGGGGTGGTGGTGGTTGTTATTAGGTGCCGTTTAGTCATCTGGGGTTACCTGCTTATATTTCAGGGCATGGCCTTTCCATCAGATCCACCAATGGACCGTTCCCCTCAGCAGGGCATGGACACGTCATTTACACAGTAGCCTCTGGACACTTACTCATTTGCATAGTCTGTTGACCAATCCCTGCAAAGTGCATACCAATCACAGGGCAGACTGCAACCCAGGGCCAGGCAAAAAATACCAAACCAAGTTGTTTACAACTTACCCAGGGAATGTAACAAACCTTCTGGAGTAGAAAATAAGGTGAAGGTAATTCCTCAGGGCTCAGGGGAAATTTTTCTCAAACTATTTTTCCAAAGAACCAAAGCAAAAGGCCACATAAAAAAACTCATTTTACTGCCTTTGGTGTCAGGTAAATGTTCATTGCTCCTAAGTGGCTTCCCTCATGATATGCCCTTCCCCATGAAAATATGTATTTGCTTTCCCAGAGAACCAAGAGAAAGACCTGAGTAGAGGAGCGATAGAACTCAGGCAGGGCCACTGTGTTGGGGCGCATCAGGAAGGTAAGAATCCTTGTAGGACCAGCCTTGTATAGAGGGCATTCAATTTGAATAAATCAGTTTGAAAAAATCTCTAGAGTTTAGGAGACTGAGGATTTCAGATACCTGAGCTTGCTTTTCCAACTTTCTTCAATCCTTTCATATCAGATTAATGGAGAAAGATTTTCCCATGTCCTTTTTAATGTTACATATGCATTGTGTCCAATATTTTTTTACTTTGCTGTCCTGACTAGCCCTTGTTTAAGTCATTGTAACTCTCAATCCTCTTGGAAGTATTTCTTAGTAAACTGTTTTGACCAAAGTCCTGAAACAGTGAAATGTATCAGAGGCTTTCTTGGCCCACAGCTGCCTTTTTCCTGATAATAATTCCTTTCATTTCTGTTTCATATTGTGAATCTCATTTTGAATCATTGGATCAGTTTCTCAAAACATTAGTGATGGAGAAAATTTATCCAGTGAACAACTAATAGTACAATTCATGAAGGCTGACACGTGCAAGTTAGAAGACATCGGCAAATTGCATGGCATTGAAGGTCAACGAGAAAACCAGGGGAGCTGTGTGAGGTGAGTTTCTTTCACTCAAAGGAACATTGTGTCAAGAGAAAGCCTTAACGTGTCAAGATATTAAGTACACATGCACGCACACACATACACACACCAAAACCTGCTATTGAATTGAATCTGACTTACAGCGACCCTGTAGGACAGGATAGAATTGTGCCATAGGGTTTTTAGGGCCATAAATCTTTGTGTAAGGAGACTGCCCCATCTTTCTCCTGTGGAACAGGTAGTAGATTCAGGTTGGCAGCATTTTGGTCAGTAGCAAAGTGCTTAACCGTTGCAGCCCCAGGGTGTGCATGTGTATAAACTGAAATGTTTGGAGAATTTTCACAATATTTTTACCAATATGAATCAGATATTCAGTGTTTGAAATATATTTCACTTGTATACAATTTTCTAAAAGCCCTCTGTTTCAGAAACAATAATGATAGTATCTCTGGCTAGATGATTTAACCTATGAAACAAGATTTAACTCAGGGCAAAAATCATACACATTCGTTGTATTTGATGATGCTGATATGGTAACAAATTTGTTTCCAACAGCGTGGTGCTTATTTTTAACAGAGGGCATACAGGAGTGAACCTCTGTGAGAGTAATGAAGGCAGTCAGTGTGGAAACAACTTCACCCAGGTTGCAAATCTTACTCTTCTCCAAACAACTGCTCCTGAAGTAAATACTTCTGAATGTCGTGAGTCTGGAAGAACGTTTGTGGATCAATCCTTGGTTGACTGTCATATCAGACCTCACACTGGCTGCAGTACCTATCCGAGTAAGGAAAACAGAGAAGCCTACAGTTCCTCTTACCTAAGTACTCAGGTGAGAATTCTCACTGAAGAGAAACCATATCAATTTAATGAATGTGGGGACGATTTCTATAGTTTCACGTCTTCTCAGAGACATGTGAGAGATCATGAGTGTGAATATAAAGAATGTTGGAAAACCTGTACACATCCTTCATCCCTCATGTTGCCTGAAAAATTTCATAGTGGAGATAAACCTTATGAAAGTATGGGATGTGAGAAAGTGGTAACTTATTCCTCAGCCTTCACTGAACATATAGCAGTTCACAGCGGAGAGAGGCCTTTTGAATGTAAAGAATGTGGGAAAGCCTTTCGTTATTTCTCAGATCTCACTAGACATACAAGAACTCACAGTGGAGAGAGGCCTTACGAATGTAAGGAATGTGGGAAAGCCTTTAGTCAGGCCTCACACCTCACTGACCATATGAGAGCTCATAGGGGAGAGAAACCTTATGAATGTAAGGAATGTGAGCAAACTTTTCGTTATTTCTCAAACCTCACTCGACATAGTAAAATACACAGTGGAGAGAGGCTGTATGAATGTAAGGAATGTGGGAAAGCCTTTAGTTGTTCTTCAAACTTGACTACACACATAAGAACTCACAATGGAGAGAGGCCTTATGAATGTAAGGAATGTGGGAAAGCCTTTAGTCGTTCCTCATCCCTCACTAAACATATAAAAACTCACAGTGGGGAGAGGCCTTATGATTGTAAGGTATGTGGCAAAGCCTTTAGTCAGTTGGCACACCTCACTCTCCATATAAGAGTTCACACCGGAGAGAAGCCTTATGAATGTATGGAATGTGGAAGAGCTTTTAGTCAGTCCTCTCACCTCACTACACACATAAGAACTCACAGTGGAGAGAGGCCTTATGAGTGTAAGGAATGTGGGAAAGCCTTTAGATGTTCCTCGTCCCTAACTAATCATTTAAGAACTCACAGTGGAGAGAGGCCTTATGAATGTAAGGAATGTGGGAAAGCTTTTAGTAAGTTGGCAAACCTCTCTCTCCATTTAAGAGTTCATACTGGAGAGAAGCCTTATGAATGTATGGAATGTGGGAAAGCCTTTAGTCAGTTAGCACACCTCACTGATCACATAAGAACTCACAGTGGAGAGAGACCTTATGAATGTAAGGAGTGTGGGAAGGCCTTTAGTCACTCCTCATCACTCACTAACCATATAAGAACCCACAGTGGAGAGAGGGCTTATGAATGTAAGGAATGTGGGAAGGCATTTAGTCAGTCCTCATCCCTAACTAAACATATAAGAACTCACAGTGGAAAGAGCCCTTATAAATATAAAGAATGTGGAAATATTTTTAGTTATTCTTCCACCCTCTGCAAATATAACTCACAGTGGAGAGAATCCTTGTAAGGAATATGGAAAAGTCTTCAGATGTGGGAATCCTTTGTAAGGAATATGGGAAAGTCTTCAGATGTCCCTCATCCTGGAACACATATGCTGGAGAGAACATATGTCTGAGTAATGTTGGATACCTTTCATCCCTCATCTTTTCCCAAACCTGAAGGAATACACCTGGCAGAAAAATCATGTAAATGTATGGATGTGGGAAAATTTTTGTTTTTCTCCTCATACTTTAAAAGACATTCAGATTAACCCATATGGAAAAGATTTACCTAATAAAGCAAACCGAACAAGTGGGACATCTGGAGAGACATGGTGTAAATGTGAGGAACCTAGGGATATCTCCACATTTTTCCATTCTTGGACAGCATGTGAGATATTACACTGTGGACTAATCTCATGAATGTAAAAGGTGCTGGGAGCCTTCAGTGTCCCTCCTTCCTCAGGACACCTATGGGACCTCACACACAGGAGAGACCTGGTGACTGTAAGCATTGTGATGAAGCCTTCAATTATGTCATTTCCTGTTTTGTGAACAAAGAAATTCATATCGGGATAACGTAATTCAGATTGACAGAGAATTTACCACTATCTTATCCCCATGTGCATAGATTTCCACTTTTTATTTTCTCATGTAAACATTAAGATGATAAATACCATTCTGAGTACCCTTTCAGTTTTAGGACATGAATTTTGATAAATCGTCTGCATTTTGATTCATTTGTATAAAAATTTTTATTAGAAACTTTTATCAACACAGGTGTGTTGAAGTGTTTTTCATTTTTATCAACTGTCAAAATTTAATATTGTTTCAGAGTATTAAAGAAGCATGTTCTCATTGTAGACATTTTAACAGAAAAAGGTAAAGCAAAAATCACTTAGAATCTTTCAACTCGTAGTATTTTGGATATTTCCTTTTAGCTTTCTTTACATACAAGGCAGTGTATTTAAACAGAATCAGCCTTGTACTGCATGTTTAATGTTACAGTGGACATGTTTTGCATCACATTTCATTTATACTCCTAAGTACTGTCATGATTCATGGATTACTATTATGGAAACAGTACAAAAAGTTTTAACTCAAATTTCCACCATCCCATGAAAGTCCCCTTCTCTCAAATGGGGGCGTGAGAATCAGGGTTTATAAGAAAGAATGGCTCACTCTTGGGTGCAAAGTGATAGTAGACCCACGCGGAGCCCCAACCTGACCTAACTGCAGTGGAGCTTATGTCTTGCACTGGCCCAGAACCTGTGTTCAGTCACAGAGTCCTGGTTCGGGTAATTCTAACCAACCAAGAGCTCTGGTGGCATAGTGCCTAAGGCATTTGACTGCTAACCAGAAGGCTGGCAGTTCAGACCCACTAGCCACTCCTCAGAAGGAAGGTTGGGCAATCTACTTCTGTAGTGATAGCACCTCAGAAACCCAAGGCGGGGTCACTATGAGTCGAATCCAATTCAACGGCAGTGAGTGATAAGAGTGTGTGCTGTGCCAGGTGAGGTTGCAGGTGCTGGACTGGGCTGGAATAGTGACTGCTGTTCACCTGATAATGGACACCCATGGCAGGGCTGGAAGAAGATGGGAGCACAGCTAGGGTTCCTTAATAAGAGAGATAAGGCAAAGGATTGTTGAGCCTGGAGTTGTATCCAGTGCCACTGTGCCCTATGCTGATGTGGGAGCTGCTTCACTGACTCCTACATAAGGGGCCTGGGAAATGGTGGATCAAAGGTAAGAGAAGCCTTCTAATTAAACCTTCCCTTGAAACAGCAATTCCTTTTGATTCATCCTGTGGAAATCCCTGAGCATGATGGTGTCTGTTGGTAGTAGGATAGGTACTGGAAACTTTGGGATAAGTGTCCACCTGGAAAGGAACTGTTAGATAAATGCCAGGCCTCATGTCCGAATATTGAGCTGTCACAAAATGAAGTTCTTCAAAAAACTTTGGATCACAGAAGAGGCAGTCATAGCACAATGCGTAAGAGGCTGGGTAACTAACTAGACATGACGATGTTGGTTTGTGAAACATTTACATAGAAATGGTTTATGATTTTTAAATGCCCACAAATTAGCCTACAGGGATGACCCTTCCTAGAACATTAACATTCTCCCCCAAATGTAAGCATATGAGTGATTTCTTATTTTGCTTTTCTCTAATACTCATTTCTTTTACAATTGTTTATTGCTTATAAAAATTTTTAACTTCAGTTTTAAAATTTAAAAATCATAATTGACTTTTGGAATGTACAGTTAATATGACTTGACAAATGCATTAAGGGGTGTAATCATTTGCACAGTGAAAGTACAGAACAACACCTCTCATCCTCCAAAAATCTCCCTAGTGCTGCCCAGTTTTAGTCAACCTTTCCCCTGACCATGAATGTCCTGGCTGTTTTCCCTATAAATGTCATCCTCTTTGTAGTTCTACTACTCTTTGTAGTTTTTTATCCTGGTTCCTTCCACTTAGTATTATGTATTTGAGAATCATTTATGTTGATGAATGTAATTGACAGTTCGCTCCTTTTAATTGGTGTGTAGTAATATGTAGTATACGTGTCACAGTTTGTGTAGTCACCATTTGGAGAACATTTGGGTTTCTAGTTTTTATTACTAAATGTGATATAAATACATTACAATTTTTTACATGAATGTATTTTTCATTTTACTTACATATATCCCTATTGGAAGCTCTGGTAGCATAGTGGCTAAGGCACTTGACTGCTAACCAGAAGGCTGGTGGTTCAAACCCACCAGCCACTCCTCGGAAGGAAGATGGG